CCTCAATAGCACAGCTGAACCTTTAAGATCTCAGTAGTGCGTTTAAAAAAAAAAAACCACACATTGTGATGTTCTTCCATCAGATGCACCATGTTCCTCATCCCTTCCTCAAAGAAGAAAAGAACTGTCAAGTTTCTAACATTAATCAAGCCTTGAATATAGAAAAAGAAAAAAGATCATAAGTTTTATTGATTTTCTTATTAATCACATTAAAGAAATACTATTTTCTGTTTACAGCAATTCATTTTGAAACAGTGCTCACAGTGCGGGGGAGAGGGGAAGGTGAGTCTTGCAGCAGCAGATGGAAGAAAGTCAGGTCAAGAAGAAATTTTATTTTCCAAGAAAATAAACTGCTGTCATTTGAGTGGGTCTCCCTTTGTAAGCCGTCCTTCCTAAATAGATTGAAGAGGAAAAATGGGAAACCAAAACTACTCAGCCTTAGTGTAAAACAAGACTACCTCTGTTAATTTATAAGGATACTTACTCTTGGTAAGTGTGGCGCACATAAAACTGCTCTTAAACTACAAGAAATCCCTTACCACAAGATGCATTTTCTTGACTCCCAAATAGTTATTGCTTAATCCTCCTTTTATAAAATAGTTTTTCACTTAAACACATTAAGGTATGTCAGCTTAGCTCTGGCATGTCCATCTTGGTGAAAAATATATTATATTGACACAGAGTGGTTGGAACACTAGGTAAGAGACTGAAAAGTACTGGTCCAGTAATCCTAAAAAGAATATTAAAAATTAAAAAAACACTCTGGACTAGATTATTATCTCAGTTGTACAAGTATAAATCTGGAGTTTAACTGAGATCAGAATGTGACCCTTTCTTTAAATATTGATGAGTCTTTTCTTATAGCTAGTAAGCCAGTGTTGCAGTAGTTCAACCTTGGTTTCCTTCGTAAAGTTCTTGCACAGTCAATGAGTGTGAGGGTGGGGTGGGGTGGGGCGAGGGGGGGGGGTAGGTGGAGAGAGAGAAACAGTGCTAGGCTCAGAAATTAAATTATAATTACACTTTTTAAACACCACCTACATTTTGCATCCTGGCTAAAAGTGCCTTTTAAGGTGTTTTATTATAGTTTCAGATTGCTGGGTTGGCTGAGGAAATAGCTGGAGTTTGTTTTTATATCTGAAAATGCTTTTCTTGTAACTAGGAGTAGGAAATTTCTGCATATGTCTTGTCTTGTTTTGTTTTTCTCCTGGCCTTATCAAAAACTATACTAAGAAATGTAAAAATCTGCATAGCAAGAATGAGAAAAATGTGTTACAATTAGGCTTGTTTTCATAGATTTTTATCCCCATGATATTTATCTCTATAAATCCACACAACTTCCCTTTTTACATTGCAAAAATTAGACTTTTTTCCTTTGTCAGTTCTAATGTGAAGATGACTAAAATTGTGCTAAGAAAGCACTTTTTGTTTCCTCATGTGAGCTGGGTGACTGAGTTTTTTTCTTTCACATATCATGACATTTCTGTTCCATAGTGTACTTTCAGATTGTTTGGATTTTTTTTTCTTTGCACAAAAGGAGAATAAAATGCAATGCACCTGATTTTCTGAAGTCCTGAGCTCCCACAGCTCCTGTTGATTTCACCTGGCATTGGGGTGCTCAGCACTTTTGAAAATGAGGCCCTGTGTTTCTTTATAATTGAATTGTTATACTGTTGAAACAAATTTGCATTAGGAGCATTGAGTTGAAACATAAAAAGAAAGTTCCTTTTTTGAGTTTTACCCAAAGTTTTTTGCTTTGGAAAGAATGGTTCTTCTAGTTCTTCAATCCAGCTCCATTTGGTCCTCCTGGGTTTGACTTGGCACATAGGAATGTGACTGAAAATATCTGTGTTTTGTTAAGGAAATATATTTAATACTCTTGTCATATTTTGTTTTAAATTAAAATATTTTTTGACTTTTTGTACAGAGTCTGGATTAATAGTGCAGGGGAGAATGGAGCCATCTTTATTACTTTTGAAGGGGAAAAACTGCATACCCTTGAAATATTTTCACTTTAGCTTTCTGATTACTGAAAAGGATCTTAAGAAGCAAATGATTGGACAAAATTCTTGGTATGCTTTGTATTAACAAGTTAGCTCTCTCCAGAGTAGTTCAATAAAGTATTTTTAATGCACTGTATTTCATATAAAAGCCCTTCAGTTTGTTTCATTTTAAATGTCATCAGTCAAGACATTTTAATAGAAATACTTGAATTACCGTATATACTCGATCATAAGCCGGTTCGTTTATAAGCTGACAGCCCCCCCACCCCCCCCAAGATGGATAAGTAAAAATGGAACATGTTTATGACCCGTTCATAAGCCGACCCTATAATTCAGGGGTCGGCAAACTTTGGCTGCGGTGCCGAGACGGTTTGTTTACCTTGAGCGTCCGCAGGCACAGAGGTAAACCTAAGTAAACGAAGTGTCCCGGCATGCCAGCTGCTTACCCTGACAGGCCAGGACAGCAATTGGTGGGGAAATTGGGGGGGGGGGGGGGAAAGCTGGGGGTAAGGGGAGTAACCCCTGTGACCACCCCCCACATGACCCCACCCCTAGCCCGGGACCCCCAGACTCCCCATCCCATCCCTTCCCACCTTACCTGGGGTGGGCCAGGGGGGGATATCTCTGGCCTGGCCACAGCTGCCCCGGCGGGCCAGGTGGTATGGCCGCAGCCTGCCAGCCCCGGAGCTGCATGTGCTTCGGAGGCTGGGGGGAGAGCAGCGTGGCCAGAAGCGGAGAGACTCTGGCCCCGACTCTTCCCTTCTGACTGTGCTGCCTCTCCTTGCCCCCTCTGTTGAGGGGGTTGAGGGGCTGTGTCCCACCTCTCTCCCTCTATACCCGTTCATAAGCCGACCCCCTTCTCTGATGCTTCCCTCTTTTACTAAAAAAAATTCGGCTTATGAAAGAGTATATACGGTATAGAAGCAATAATCCAGTAACAATACAGTGTGTTTTCATGGCATCCCTTGCCACTAAAAATCTGGCTTATAGTTAAAGTGCTATTAGTTACATCTGCTAGCCCCACAAACTTCATCTCAGCTACTAAATTGATACTTACAGTGGCAGATATTCAGGTGGGTATTTCTTTGTTGCTCTGGCAACAGGAAAAGCAATGGGAACTCTTACAGGTTTCAATTGATAGCCAGCAGCACATTAAGAAAATAATGCACTTGAGCATTTTACTATGAAAGATGAAGCTCAATGATGAACTAGAATCTTATGAAGTGTTTCTTATTCAGGAGGATTTTTTTTTTCCAATTTTGAAATAGTGCTATAAGGTATTTGATACTCCTATGAATATCCCTGAAATAAATCAACAGATTTTTAAACCATGCCTTCAAAAACAAGGTTATAGGGGAAAAATAGGTATTGATTTCCAAGACAATTTGTCACTTTAAAAAAAAAATAAACAAATGTACCCCAAATGATGGGGTAATAGACCAATATATCCCAATGCTAATAAAACCATAGTAGTTTCTGATGCAATGCATTCCCAATTTTAACATAAAATTTATTTACCAGGCAAATTGGGAAAGTCATAGTTCATTGCATACAGCTGCTTTAATCATTAATAATATTTAGCTGTTTCCTAATAAATTACATGTGCGATTGATTTCACTTCATGCTGGATTTCGAGCTGCAGCAAGGGAAAACAACAATTCTGTTTTCACTGTTCTGTTGCTCCAAGTTCAGTTTCAGGGATCTTATTTTGGGCTACCTTGCTCAACTCAGGCAGTGATGAGAACCGATAAATATGACTTTGAAAGCATTTTTTATATATTGTAATGAAGTTGAGCTGAACATTAATGTTAATTAAATAGCCTACACTTAGCATCCTTCTGCTATAGATATTGAACTTACATCACACTGATGTATCAGGCATTAACATTCTAGTTCTGAGCTTTGCCTTTGTGTAGATTAATAGATAGTAAATCACAGACTCCTCAGAATTAAGAATCTGTATGTCTTTTTAAGAAAGAAACACTAACCTCTTAACAATATTCTTATCTTTATTAGTTGAAAGCAAGAAATTGAGTAGAATCCTAAGGTGTTTTCTTATAAGAGTGGAAGTCTGTCTTGGTATTGATTGTTTTGGTAGTAGGTAGTTTGTATTGTCTGTGTATGAAAACCCCTGGAGCAACTATTCCAACACGTAGCAATTCTATGTAGGATTTGCTAAATACAAGAGACTAGATTCTGTGGCTCAGAGGTACTCCAGAATGATTGTTCCATTGAAGTGATTTTTGACTTCTTTAATGGTCCCAAGACTAGTCTTCCAATTCTGACATCAAATTTGCCAGCATGAAGAAGCTTGGAAAGGTAACTTATAGAAATGAGTGTGAAAGTAAATGAAATATGTGTAAATCAGAAAAGTAAGCTGCCCATAATTTGTAATTGTTTCTATTGTAAAACAGTTTAAAATCTACAAAACTGGCATTCTTTAAATGAATTTCAGGTAAAAATTTGCCAAAATATTACAATTGATTATAGACTAGTATATGCCTCACATAGGTTCAAGTTACGTCAGACTCTACTCCCTGACTGTTGCAAACACTGATTTTAGAACCATTGACATTCTTGCTGCTGTTTGACTATGATAAGCGAGTTAGGTTGTATCCCATTACCATCCTCCCATCTCTTGAGCGGCTCTGTTGCTACTGGCACTAAGAGGCAGAGAGGCTAAGGATTAGTTGAAATGGATTAGTTTTGTAAAATAGTATGGGAAGAGACTGTACTCTGCCCCTACTAAAAGATGGATCACGGCTGAAGCATGTTTGTTGGCAGGGCAGAATAGAAAAGCTTGCATCGCTGCTGCTCTTGCTTTACCTCTGCCATGGATATTTAGATCTTAGTTCACAGTCTGGCACCTTTGTGATAATTCACTTGTAGGTATGTTTTTAAAAAATAAGACTATCTCATGTTCTTCACACCAGAGTGGATGCATAATTCTTATTAACAAGTGTAATAATTCCAAACTGGAATCTCAAAGC